AAGAAAGAAAGAATGTACCTGTGGATATTTACAGGAAAAATTAAATAAAATTATACAACAACAATTATAATTATTTATCAATTATAGAAATCTTTATTCAAAAATTATTTGATTTTAAACTGCAATAATTAATATTCATGTATTATCAATATAAATTATAATTTTAAACAAAATCCGTTTAGCATTGCTCTTTCATGCGACAAATTTTGTCGAAACGGCAAGAGTCTTTTTTGTTTAAAATTATAATTAATATTGATAATATTATACGTGAATATTAATTATTATTTTGAAGCCAAATAACTACATCTTTTAGCAAAGACTTCTAATTAATAAAAAAAATCGACTTTATTAAACTTTTTCTTTAAATGTTTGCAGTTTTTCTTTTCCGTTATATTAAATATAATATGTGAATTATTGATACGTTAGTCTTTTATTGTCTCATTGAGCCAAAGTATTATCTAAATTAAACATTGTACAAGCGCGAAAAGACAATACGATGATAGTTAGTAGTCCGCGATGTCGACTTTTGGACTTTCATCAGAAATGACCATTCGTCAAGTCAAATGTTAATTAACGATGTTAGTCATCGCTTTTAATGTCGCTTGCCATCATTCAACCATAAAATCATCAAATCTTGGTGCTAGGTCAGGAATGTATCCTGCCGTTTTTTTATAGCGCCAAAGGACGCTCGTTAATTTTCGTAAATGACCCGGGGCACTTTGCGATGAAAATCTGAATATCAAAAGGGAGAAGATTAATCCTCTTCAATGTCCAACATTCTTAAATATTCTTTTTTCTCAAAAAACGAGCTAGTTGTCAATAATGAGGACGATATGTGTCCAGACTTACTCTCTACGGTTGTTCGATGGATTGGAAGTATATTCGTGAGACTTTTAGAAACGTGACACCTTTGAAAAATTCTTCAGAAAGGCGGCCTTTGACACACTATTGATAGCCTGGCGGCTATGTAATCGGTGTCAGTCCCATGAATAGATGTTATTAGAATGCATTCTCCATTCAAGAGCACATGTGCGTATCGTACGAAGATAATGATTCTTAACGTAGGCATATTTTTTTAATCGCAATATCTTATTTTGTTTTTGCATTTGGATCGAAGATTAACAATTAACTTTGCTCATTTATTTGTAATGTGCTGTAAATTCATTTGTTAAAATTTGATACATTTTTAACAACAAAATATAACATTAGATCGATATGTGAATTCACTAAGTAAGAAAAATGTCTTATTCGGTTTGAGCTGGATCTTAATGCTTAATAATATTTTAGTGCTTTTTTTTCTTTACTACATTCAATTTTGTAAACTGCACGTCGAAATCATTTTCTCTCATATCGTCTTGAAAGAAATCAATCTTAAATTGGATAGTAATATTATGAATCAAATTGCACAAGCACAATTTAATAATATTTTTACTGATAAAACGTTATAAATAATTTATTACATAGAATATTACAATAAATGTTAATATATATATATATATATATGTATAATATATATAT